GCCCCCCCTTGGGGAGGCGCTTGTTCTTGCCGACCGCCATGGTCCCGACCCGCCGACGAAAAGGCCGCAAACACCCCCTCCCGCGAGATTATACGAGAGTGGGGCTCGCGCGAGAACTGCGGGCGGCGGGCAGCGCTCTCGCGAGAGCTGAGCCGCATCTCGCCGGGAGGGGGCGGGCGGCCCGCCCCCTGGGACGTACCGCAGCGGGACGGAACCAACGGCGCGGGGGGAAGAGGGGGGCAAGAGGGGGGGAGGTTGGGGGCGCTACCGCTCGGTCGCGGGATGTGGCGCGTTGGCCTTTCTGCGCCTTTCGTGGCCCCGCAGAGCCCGCCGGCGCTGTTCGGTCCCGTCCCCTTCCCCAAGGAATTTTTGAATTTGGACTTTTGGGGATCTTTCGGTGCACCCTGAGGCCTCCGTGCTGAGGCAGCCTTGGCATGCTTTCCAGCACATCACTTCTGGCCTTTCTGTGCCTCTCGTGGGTGTCCCGGGCCCCTCCTCGTGGCTTTCGGGGTGCTCCAGGACGATGGTCTGTGTTGCCAGGGCAGGGACCAAGGGATGGTGGCCATTCTCCGAGGGCTGAAGGGCTGAGATGGAAAGAAAGAGAGTGGAGATCAAACTCCTGTGTCTGCGGAGGCCCCGGGGCATCCTCACCAGACAGCGCCAGCCCACCCAGCCCTTCCCACGCTATGGGGAAGCAGGGGCACTGCAGGGACAACTAGAAGCTGCTGGTCTGGGCTGCCTCGGGTGCTTCAACTGATTCCTCCTCTCCCCTCTGCACAGGAGTGCAGAGCCCACCTTGCCTGGGGCAGGGCACGCCGCCCTCACTAACCCACGCAGGCGGTCATCACCTGCTCGCTCACTCCGACGCCTCGTGCCCTAGGTACATGCAGCCCGTCACCCCATGACAGCCTGACCATCCGGGGCGACGCAGGACAGCAGCCGAGGGGAGAGCGTGGCGCAGGAGGATGCTCCCATCAGCCCACCTGCGTGGGCGGGGATGGGAGAGGGAGATGCAGTGCCCAGGCCAGCACCTGGCAGTCTGGACTCCCATGGGACAAGAGGGGACCACAGGTTATGGCTCACTGATGAACCTCACAGCAACCCCTGGCAAGGATGCCTCAGGGTCCTCCAGGTAGGGTAGGCTCTAGCACGGGTACCTGTACTGTGCCAGCTAGAGACAGCACTGGGACACAGGGCTGAGGCAGACCCTTGCCAGGCATCCAGGCTTGTTCTTCCCCCTGGGGACGCCATCCCCTTCCCAGCAGGAGCAGGTTCTTGTCAGCCTCAGAGAGTCAGCAAGGGGGCTGTGCTGATCTTCCGTGTCTTCGAGGTTTTGGCCAGGTGGCTGCGCTGTTCCCACTGCAAGGGCTGCGTGACTTTAGGAGGATTTCTTGAGAGGCTGAGAGCTGCAGAGATGACGCCACAGCCCAGGGCAGGGCACTCTCCACCTACATCGTGGCCAGGCTTAGACCTTTTCCAGCTCTTTTCGGGAAGGTGGTGCCCAGGACCAAGCCTACCCCAGGCTGAAGGACATGGTGGGCCTGGGGCAGACAGGGGAATGGCTCTGTGCTGTCCTTGGGGACAAGTAGGTCAGGTCTGACAGTGACACACACTCAAAGAGTGCATCTTTCAGCAGCCCTTAGCCGTAGTGCTGAGGCCCATTTGTGAAGTGTCGGCATCCAGTGTCACTGTCTGCCTTGAATCACTGGTGGGGTTAAACTTCGTTGCTCCTGCAGAAGGGCAGCTGAGGGCTCCTGTCCGCTTTCTTCCTCATCCTCCATTTGCCACTTCCCATCACAGTCTCTATCATGTCTTTGAAGAGGAGGATGGAGACCACTTGCACCCGGTGGTGACAGCCTCTCCTGGGCACTTTATGCCTCTCCCTCCGGAGGGTACACGCTCTCCTTGGGGCTCCATCAGGTTCTCCCTGATGGTCAAGGGAAAGGGGTGCGTTTCTGATGGGCTCAGGCTGGCTCCTGGCTCTTTGCTTGTCTCTGCCTCAGCGGAGCAGCCGGGAGCATGTGAGGTAACGGCAGGGCAAAAATGCATCCTGGCACTTCCCAGGGGTACGAACTTGCCTGCAAGGGTGTACAGGGGAAAGGGACACATAGCTCCTGAAACAATGCAGGGCAGCTGCGGACATACCACATCGTCCAAGAGGGGCAGGAGCGACTGTCAGCTGCCCCGGAGGTGATGCTGACATCCTGTCCCTCCACCAGGGAACTAGAAGATGTCTTGGCCTGCCACCCAAGGGGACCCAGGCGTCCTGCCCACCATGGGACATGTGGCCCAAGGCCAGAATGCATGGGCCAAGGCAACATGGGGAGGGGGCACTCAAGGGGACATTCGCAGCCAGTCACGTGGTTCGTTAATGACTACCTAATGACCTTGGGAGGGCCGTGAGGGGGAGTGGGGCCTCCTGGATGCCTGGCTCCCCCCCAGCCATCCGCTGGACTTTGCTTTTTGCCCTGCTCCTCCTCCTGGATCTTTGCCCATTGGGCCCAGCTGGGGCCAGTATAAAAGAGGCACGGAGGAGTGGGAGGGATCCTGGAGACCCCGAGGCCATAAGGGAAACTGAGGCACACACACAGAGGTGCGGGTGAGGGATGCGTCAGGGGACCAGAGTGTCTGCGGGAGGGGGACTGTGAGGAAACCAAGCATCTAGTGGGGGAGGGAGGATACGTAGGGGATGCAGGTGTTGGGGCAGGGAGTGGATCTATAGGGGACCCAGGGGTCCAGGGCGGGTGTTCCATAGGGGACCCAGGCTTCTGGGGAGTGCAGAACTGTAGGGGACCCCAGTGTCCATGGGGTGTTCTGTGGGGGACCCAGGCATCCAGGTGGGATCCACAGATGGCCCAGGTGTCTGGGGAGGGGGGTCCCCTCATGCATTTAGAGGGGATCTGTAAGGGACGCAGGTGTCTGGGCGGGGGAATATGTAGAGGAATTGAGCGTCCAGGGTGGGGTTTCCAGTTGGGGGCCCAGAAGTCCAGATGGCCCTGACCCCCACTTTCCACAGGTGCCCATGGCAGGCTGGGCCCTCTGCACGGCCCTGGTGCTGGCAGTGCTGGCAGGGGCGGTGGGTGAGACCCGCTATGAGAAGTTTCTGCGGCAGCATGTGGACCACCCCCGGACATCCGTGCTCACGGCGCACCGCTACTGCGAGACCATGCTGGCACGCCGGCGGGTGACAGCCCCGGGGAGGCCCTGCAAGCCCTCCAACACCTTTGTGCACGCACCGGCCGAGGAACTGCTGGCTGCCTGCACCCAGACGCCTGACGCAGTGGGGCTCCGCAGCACCCCGACACCCATGGGCCTCACAGCCTGCCGCCTGCGGGGGAGGGACACCCGGCCTCCTTGCACCTACCGGGCTTGGCAGCTCCAGCACCATGTGCGCGTTGCCTGCCTTGACGGGCTGCCTGTGCACCTCGCTGGCACCCACGCACCCCCCCAGTGAGGGTTGACATGGCCGGGGGGGAGGCTGTAGGTGGGGATGTGGGTTCTCCCTCCCACTGGGGGCTCCGTTAGGGCCTGCAATAAAGGAGGTGCCACAGGCCTGGGCTCTGACATCAGCTTCTGGGGGGGACCCTGCGATCCTACCCCTCTCTGGGTGCCCCTGAGCCCCCTTGGGTGCCCCCAGCCCTGTAGGTGGACCTGGCTCCCCATATGCTTCATAAACCCCTGGGTTTTCCCAACCTCCTGGGTGTCCCATAGCACCCTAGAGTGACTCTGACCTCTCCTGTGCCCCGTAGAGTCCCCTTTCCTGGGTGCTCCACAACTCTCCTGGGTGCCCCATAACCCCCCCAGGGTCCCCCTGATCCCCTGGATGTGCACCCAACTCTCTCCCCTGGTATCCTGACCCTTTGGGTGTCACATTGCTTTCCTGGATGCCCCATAGCTCCTGCAGGGTCTCCCAACCTCCCATGTGCCTCATAACCCCCTGGATACCCCCAACTTCCCCCATGCCTGTCCCATAAACCCTCACATGCCCCACAGTCCTCTCTCCCACATGCCTCTGGCCCCATCTGGGGCCTTTCTGGGGCTGAGGCTGACCTTGGGCCCCCTTGGCACCCCATGGAGCCGAGCACTGGCTGGGGCCACACACAGCCCTGAACCACCACCCCACGCACACTGAACACACACAAAAACACAACATATACACACACATGCAAACATAACACACACAAAGCATGCAGCGTGCACACAACCACACACTGCACTCGCAACAAAAAACATACACACACACTCCTACACACAACATGCATACACAGCCCAAACACACACAATACGCAAGCATATACACACAACACATACACTACATGCACACGCATACAGAAACAAGTATTTTCTTGGGTTTGGATGGGATTTCATGTGCTTCAGCTTGTGTTCATCACCTCTTGTCCTGTCACGGGGCACCACTAAGAACAGCATGGCTCCCTTGTCTTCATTCCTCCCCATCAGTACTTACCAGTACACTGATAAGCTCCGCCTGCCTCAGCCTTCTCTTCTCCAGGCTGAACAGTCCCAGCTCTCTCAGCCTTTCCTCTTATCAGAGTTGCTCCAGTCCCTTCATCATCCTCAGCCCTTTGCTGGACTCTCTCCAGTATGTTCATGTCTCTCTTGTAGTGGGGAGTCCATCACTCCATCCAGCATTCCAGACGTGTGTCAGTAATGCTGAGCAGAGGAGCAGGCTCACCTCCCTCCACCCACTGGCAATACTGCCTAGTGCAGCCCAGCAGGCTGGGCGTCCTCTTTGCTCTGGTCCTATTACTGAGGGAGCCCTGAGGACTCCGATGGAAGTGCTGGCATCCAGGTGCTGTGCTGTTGTAAAAAGGCTGCCCAAATGCACTCAGAAATTGTAGCTGAGGAGGAAATGAAGGGCAGCAAATGGTCTTCCCGATCCTTTTCAATTTCTCCCTGTCCAAGATGTCCCTTCATGTGCCTTCAGCAACTCAGGTGCTCCTTCTTCTGGAATTCATCAGAAAGGCACTTGGAGGGACCTCCATGGACCGGTGAGCTCCAACTCTCAGCCCTGCCCCAGTGAGGAGAGCTCTACTCTCTGTACACTGGAGAGGAATTGGGGTATTTTGAAGGTGTTTGGGGCATTCCTGGCAACTTCCAGCAGACTCACTTCACCCTGCTCCCTGCTGGCCATGGGAGGAGCTGGATGGGTGGACCCTCTCAGGAGGGAATGCCCAGGGTCTCTGCAAGTACAAGGATTTGATCTCTGCTCAGTTTCTTTCTACCTTGGTTCTTCAAGGCTTGGAGGAGGACTCCAGCCTCTCCATCTGTTCTCTGGCAGCTCAGAACACCCTGACACTGAGAGAGAAAAATATCACCACTGTGATTTACCTGTGGAGCCTTGTGCTACAGGCTCTGAAGAGCATGGGAGAGGTGGCACCCATCTTGGGGAGACAGCTCTGAGCAGCAGTCCCAGAGCAGCAGTGACAGTTCTGGGATGCCCTGCATGCTGGGGCCACCTGAGCGTGCTGGCAAGTCTGGTTTGTTCTGGCATCTCCCCTTTGCCCGCAGGGCAGCTCCACCCCTCAGGCACATCCCATCCCATTATTGAACTGTTGGTTCACCCCTCTGCTGTGTTTTCCCCTAAGAAGTGACTCTGCTTCTTCAGTATATGTTAGTGTCTGTTGTTTGTGAAGGCTAAAGGGAAAAAAAACTCAGCCACAAAGGAATCAGAATCATCCTGAGGGTGTTAGGACATCCACTCTTTCTGGCAGCCAGTGGCAATGCATATCATACCCAGGTACTTTATCTCTAAGGCAAAGCACCAGTTGATCTGCTGGCTTCATAACAAGGATCAGAACAGCTGTAGCCGCTCCTGCCATCTCCAAAAGGAGACACCAGGACAAGAACTGCCTCTCTACAGGGCTTGCATATCATGTGAAAGGGAATGGAAGGGGAATAGCATGCAGCCCTAGACCTTTTTCCCCATCACTGGCTACTGTGCATGGTCCTTGGAGCTGCACATCTCTCAGGAACTCTGTGGTGAGGTTGAGGGGAACCAGCACAGGGGATGGTCTCCAGTGATGTCATTCCCTGTTCTAAATGTCCCCGAAACTTAGGAGGTACAAGAGGATCCGTCTCCATCCGGCCTTAGTCTCAACACCGAAAGAGAAAAAGGCACTCCTAATCGGATTCTGCCTTGAAAAATAAATCACCTCTTTTGCCACTGCTGCCAGTGCTGGCCCTTCACCCATACTAAGTTCAACTGATGTGGCTGAGCTCAAGAGTTGCAAGGCTGTACTGCAGGCAAAAAAGTGACTTGCAGAAATTTCACTTAATTTAATTTATTGCCAATTAATGTACACTTTTAATTACTGATTTGGGTATTAAGAAGCACAGAAGATATAAAAAATTACATGAGGACTTAAGGAAATGCTTTCCCTCCCCCTTCCCCAGGCACAACTTCAAGCCTCAGTGAGCGGGATCATGGCTGCGATACGAAACTTCCACACTATCTTTAAACTACCGGGATGTGGTCCTTTATCCAGGGAGACAAAGAGGCCTTTGCTACAAGCAGCAGTGGGCCATTTGCAGGCAGTGGTCAGCAAATCTGTAATGGCAACAAGTAGCAAAAAGCCAGCATGGGACTGGTGCCTGAAAATAGAGGAGGGATTTTTGCATTTTTGTGTTTTAATAAACCATTGCATTTGTTTCTTAATTCCTTTCTCATTTAGGTACTTTCATGTCCTGCCTATCACAGCCAAATGTAAAGTTCCAAGGTTTGTGGTTGATTCTGCCTTATAACACCACAGGGAGATGGAAACTATCATCTCTGTTTTGTGGGTGGGAGTTAAGCAGCTTTCCTAAGGTCACAGAGAAAGTCTGAGACAGGAGCTCTATTCAGGCTTCCTGAACCCTATTTAATGGCCTCCCTTCCCATTTACATGCTTTTCTCTGGAGAAAAGACACACCGTGTCAGTCTGACTTTTTCTTTAAAAAAACTTGTTTTGCTTTCAATGTATATCTTTCACTTTGCCATGTGTCCTGCAGCAGATCAGTATAGGCTGCATTACAACAGGCAACAAAAACTGTTCCCAAAACAGCACTATATTCCACCAAGAAAGCAGCTATAAACTTTCTGGATGCTAGCCTAAAGCTAGTATCTGAGTTATATCTGCTCGAATTTCATGCCCAGAGTTTGCTCTGACAGTGGTCAACCTGCTGTTCTCACCTGCTGTATTACCAAACAATTAATGCCTTAGCCAGGAACTGGGCTGTTGCTTGTTTAGTGCATGCAAATGAAGCAAATTATGCTCTCTCCCATGCTTCACTATGCCTCACGTGCTTGCTCTAAGATCACACTTCCACTGCCCAGCATCTGATGGTACAAAATGAAAGGCATAAGCACTGTGTTAACATATCCAGTGCTACTGTGGAAATTCATTTCTACTTCTTGAAAAGCAATGGCATTTTTGCAGAACCATAGCAGGGAATTGCTTACGCAGGCACTGCAAAGGCCTTAAAAAATATTTACTCAGCAAAGTCAATACTGGGCTCCATGGATTTGGCAGAATGAGTCCTGTGAAACCAGGCTGTTGCTGCATGCCATGCATGCCAAAATTGACATGGAAAAAGCTTCTCTCCAGTGCTATCGCTTGCACTTAAAACATACCCTGCACAAATACAGCAAAATACAGCCGGTTGCTCTGCAGCATTTGCTCTAATAATTTTTTCCATGGGGTTTTGGTCCCCTGTCTTCTTATAACCAAATAATGCATCCAAACAATGTGGTAAGCTTTCCAACATGACGATAGCTCAAAAAGCTCAGTGAAGAGTAGATGCATTCATAAAAGTCAGACTTGATATATTTTTTAAATCAAAATTTATTTTTTTTTAATGAGCACCATTCTTTCTGTAGCTTTAGGCACCATTTTTGCTCTTTTTATTGAAAAATGGACTTATCTAAATATTTTGAAGCATTTGTTAAAGGAAGGGGAAAACCTTACTTCTCCTACCCCTCCAATATGTCATTTTTTTAATTCCAGAAGGAAATTCCAGGGTATTCCTCTTTGTATTCACACTGTTCATATGCCTAAAATAAAGCAGATATCAACTGACTTTAAAAAAAAAAAAATCATGAGCTTTCCATTTGAATGTATCTGGTTTTTCTTGGCATGAAGAAGAGTCAAGTCCTGTAGACTGATTTTCTTGGGCTTTTTGTCTGTTTAGCATGAAATACTGCTGGTGGCATTGTGAGAGCAATAGCAACTGGCTTCACATCACCCTAGAGATCACTCTTCAAATCACCTTTCAAGCCTGGCCCAAAAGAAGACCTTTTGCTTTCTTATATGGCACATTTTTGAATGAATGCACACTTTAAACAGTTTAACTGCAATGACTAATTTCTACCATCACAAGTATCTCTGTGAGTCCATATTTTTTTTAAATTTATTATTTACTTGAGGAAAAATTGTTTGGAGAGAACAGAGCAATTCCTTTATCTCTGGTAAATAGAAGACCCCATAGCTTGGTCTGAGTGGTGAGGCTGAGGGCCTCACCCTCCCTCATCACTGAGAAGTAGCAGAACCCATCCTCTCCTTTCTGTGACCAGGGTTTAAATACTGGGACGTCCCCACCACTACCCCATAACAAGTGAGGCCAGAGTTAGAAAAAAGGCATAGCTTTCTGTGAAGGACTCAGCTGAGAGGAAGAGAAGAGAAAGAACCAAGCCTCTGGGAGCACCAGGGGATTTTTTGCTCTGAGGGGCATCCCAGCTGTCCTGGGTTCAGCTGGGATAGAGTTAATTTTTTTTACAGGAACCTGGGAGGTGGGGGGCATAGCCGGGGCAGCTGACCTGAACTGGCCAAGGAGCTATTCCATACCATGTGACATCATGCTCAGTATATAAAGGGGGAGCGGGCCGGGGGGTGGGCTCTTTCTTTTCGGTGGGGGAAGTGGCAGAGCGTCGGGTCCCGGGTGGTGAGCAGTTGCACTGTGCATCACTCTTTTTGTATACTTTTTCATTAGTACCGTTGTTGTTGTTGCAATTTTTTTTGTGTTGTTCCAGTAAACTGCCTTTATCTCAACCCTCGAGGTTCCAGGTTTGTTTTTTTTCCTCTCCTCCATCTTCCCCCCTATCCCACCGGAGGGGGGCGGGAGGAGTGAGCGAGCGGCCGCGTGGTCCTTTGTTACCGGCTGGGCTGAAACCACGACACAGGCCCAGGCCGAGCACTGCAGTGCTCTCCCCTGCTCGCTGAGGGCCACCCATACTGGGCTGCCTGTCCTGTGTCTGGGCACGGGCCCTGCTCCTCCAGCTGGCCTATTCGCACTGGGTGCTGGATGAGGCCCTCCTCGAAGTGGCGGGCTTCGGGCCAGTGGCGGGCCGGGGAGATGTTTCTGTCCACGACCACCCACCGCCTGGCTGTCTTCAACCGAACCTGGAACAAGAGCACGTCCTGCTGCTTGAGGAGACTTGTCTTCCAGCGCTGCCCAGCCCAGCCGCTCCTAGTCACCTTTGCCTTCTCTGCCTGGTGGCATGGCCTCTGGCCTGGGCATGTCTTTGGTTTCCTGTGCTGGGCTGTCATGGTGGAGGCTGACTACCGCAGCCATCCCTTCCTCGGCGCCTGGGCCACCTCCCAGGCAGGGTATGAAGCTCCTCTACTGTGGCACAACATGGGTGTTCATGCAGCTCATCATCGCCTACATTCTGGTGGCTGTGGAGACCGAGAGCTTCTCCATGCTCTGCCTGCTCTGGACATCCTGCGACAGCATCCTTCCCCTCTCCTGTGGCCTCATGCTGCTGCTGCTGCTGCTTGCCAAGAAGCTGAAGCAGAACTGAGCCTGTCCTGGGCGAACTTGTGCAGCCAGTGGGGCACATGCCTGCACACGTGAGCACACAGGGTGAGAAGTGCTATTGGCCAAGCAATCTCATATAACAGCATCTCCAGAGAATCAGGTTGGCTTTTACTTCTGGGATATCCCCCAGCTTTGAGGGATGCGCTGAAGCAGGGAGGTGAGGTCACCAGACCAGTGGGGGCCTGGGCACAGGAAAAGGGGCTGGCAATCTGTCTGTGGGCAGCACAAGACAAGAAACACCCCTTTCCCCACCCAGCGGTACTACTGAGATGCATAGGTGGTACTCCTATGTGGTACTCCTCCAGCAATTGCTCCTCAGCACTGTTTCTGTGGCATGCAGACCCCAAACCGTGCTCCCAATTAGACGTCTCCTGCAATACCTGCCCCCCACCAAGTGGGTGACATGCTTGGCCTCTGGGGTGCTGGGTCAGCTGTGTCCCCTGCCACACGGGGAAGAGAGATGGTCCATCCCCTCCACCATTCTTGCAGAGGATCCTGGGCACGGGGGCAAGAATGCTGCTGGGAAAAGAGGGGGATACTGCCCATGGTGTGCTGAGGACAGCATAGGCAAGGGATAGTAAGCCAGCAAAGTCCTTGGACTCAGCTGTGGCATTCAGCTGAGGCTTAGGTGTCACTTTCCCCACAAAGATACACAGCAGAAATCCTAATGCACTTCTCCAGTTCACGCACTGGCCTAGGACCCAAAAGCCTGTTTAGGCTATGGAAGAAGCATGAGCTACCATAGGGGAAGGTATCAGGAAAGCATGGAGCTAAAAGTTGCTGTTTATATGAGAGCAAGAAGCCACGCACCGAATATCAAAATAATATAGCTGAAAATGCTACAAGACTATTGTTGGCCTCTGGTCTGCTGGGCATGCTGCTGCAGGGTACCAGGACCAACACCAGAACCAGTCTTAAGTGCCCAAACTCAAGGGAAAAAATTTTTGATCACATTAACATCCCACACCATGCAGGCCCTGTGTCAATACCTGTATCAGTGTTTGTCACTAAACTGAAACTCAACACGCAAAATCAATCTAGCCTTGTTTTATGTGGGTTGTTTGGATGTTTGGCTTCTTCTTGAGTCCCACTGAGTACCCATCCCAAGCCTTGCAAGCCACTTGCCCCACATATAATCTCCCCGTTACCAGCACAGCTTGCATTTGTCAGGGCCAGGCCCTGTCTCCTTCAGTGCTGTCCTGCAGAGCTGCCTCCAACTTATTCCCTATATCCATGCTTAGAAACTGAGTCATCTCTTCATCTTATCTCTGAAAAACATGCTGGGCTCCTTCAGGCAGGTTCTCCAGCTGTTTCATCACTCTGCTGGCCCATGTGAGACCACATGTAGCAAGCCAGGACCAGACTTTCCAGGGTGATGTGTCCGGGATGGTCCATGGGACAGTGGTTCCCAAGCCAGAAGGCTCCTGCCACCTATGTTGGAGGGAAGTGGACCCAAGAGTCAGTCGCAAGAAAGCCAGTGTATAAAAAAAATCCCGACGGCCGCAGTTGGAGCCATCCCACATTCTTTCAGCAGGCAGGGACGTGCACAGCCTCCTCCCTAAGGGGATCAGGGGAAATTCATTGCAAGTGGGTGCCCAGCCAAGGAACCATCCCCTCCCATCAGCAGCAACCATAGCCAAACAGATTAAAAAAAAAAAATTAAAAAAAAAATCCAGGTGAGAAGCCTGGAAAAGATTCACAGAAAGTGTATGAAGTGTCAAAAAACCTGGGGAATTAAAATTCCCCCAAGAGAACAGGCTGGATCTGGAGATGAGTCAAGGCTGGAGGAAAGCACTCATGAATTTCTCCCCATTTTGAGCTGGGAGAGGGTTAGCTCAGCTAGTGACATCCTGTCTCAGCTAAGCTGATGCTGGGCTCTCTCCACATGTCCCAAACCTACCACTTCTCCAAGGGCTGCAGAACTGGTGCCAGGAGCAGGGCAGCTCATCTCTGCCTCGTGTTGTGGGTGGAAGAATAAAAGCAGCCTACAGCCTTTTGGAAAATCAGTTTTTCTAAGCAGCAGCATGGCCTCTCTACCAAGCTGAGTGGCTGCTATATGTCTGGATGGAGGGAAAGGGACTGGAGGGAGCCAGGCCAGCTTCTCCCTCTTCCACCGTGCTGCTCTTGCATCACATCTCTTGGAGGAGCATGTTTGCATCACACCCACCCCTATGCATTTCTAATTCAAATAACAGCAGCAATAAGACCCTCCCAGACCACAGGCCGGTGGCCCTGGCCTTTCACATGCCAGCTCATCTCTCAATAAAGGGGTTAAATAAATGCTAGACACAAGGGACAGGTGAATTACCAGGTGAAGAGAGGGAGTTGGACAGGTGGGGAAAGCAAAGCAACCTGGCCCTGACTTCCCTCCCCAAGGCCTTGGAGGCAAATTTGGGATTTTCCATTTCATTAACTTTAAAAGGGTAATTCCCAGCATGCAGCATCATCCTCATGAACAAACCCATCCTGGGCTCTCTCACCCTTTCACAGTCAGCAGCCCGCACAGCTGCACCACTAGACGGGAAAGCCATGCTGTATTAGTATCTAATGAATGTAACAGGCAGCTGATATTGAATTGCCCACAGTGGAAAGTACAACTGATACACAGAAACAAGCAGTAATTTTTGTTTTTAAAGTGAGAAGCAAAATGCATGCCAAAACCCACAAAAGATGTGAATTTGAAAGCCCCTCCTGGTTCTCCCTTGCAAAGGAGCATTACATGAATTGCTCTTGCTCCCCAGGAGAAGCAGCCAACTGTTCATCCCTGCTGCCCATTCTGGAGAGTGGTGGTGTTCCTGGGAAAAAAGGCTCTGATGCTTTAGCAGGGGTGGGGATCAAAGGACTGTCCCACAGGCACAGAAATCAACTCAAGTACATTGAGTTCATTAGAAACATGCACACACGCAGGCAGGAGTTTATTAGTCCACAGACTTACCATACCAAAAAAAAAAATCCCCCAAAATAGGAGTAGGTTCCCAGTTTTGCCTGCTCGCAAATTAACAGTGCTGAGGGTACTAAACATGTCTTGTGCACTCTGATGGGAGTGCGGGGCAGGAGCTGAATGTGCATTCACAGCTGAGATTCAAGCCTCTCGCCTATAAAGGGGCTGTGTACCTTTAGCTGCAAGGCAACCGGGAGCCCTCCGCTGCCTCCAAGACACATCCAAGGTCAGAGCAGCTGCAGCAGTTTTAATGTGTGTGAAAGGGAGGCTGGCTCAGCAGATGCTAAGTACTGGCAGCACAGCCAGTCTTCCAGTTCAATGCTCCGCTCCATGTCCACAGCCCTCTCTGCAAACTTCATCATGAGCAGGGCACGCTTCATGTCCACCCAATTCTGAAGCACCTGGCAGAGGGCTTCCTCATGGCTGAGGGGCTGCTCAGTGAGGTCTTTCCGGGGCCCCCAAAGCAGACACTGCAGCATCTGCTTGGCCTCGGTGATGCGCACACGCTTGATGGGATCCGCTTCTAATAGCAGGTGGGCCAGCTGCTGGAGCCCGCGGGAGTAGATGGACAGGCAGGGCAGAGCAGGGAGGTCCTCAGGGCTGTACTCCTGCTCCCTGAGGTGCACCTTCTCCTCAAAGGGGTTGGGCTGGTGCAGCAGCTCATAGATGAGAATACCAGTCTGAAACTCATCAAACTTCTTGTACTGGGAAGCTGACACAATCTCCGGAGCCAGCCGGGCCTGACTCTTCTTCAGTTTGGAGTCTCTGCTTCCTGGCTTCTGTTTGGCTTTCAAAAAATTGCTGATGATGAGGCGGGGTAAGTGTTTGTCATCTTTGGCTTTCACACAGCTCATGGGCGGCTTGCAGGGGACAAGCAGGAGGTTCTCCAGGCACAGGTCACGATGGATGATGCCGTGCTCTTTGAGATGCTCCAGGCCATTGCAGAGCTGGAGGAGCAAGAAGCAAACACGACGTTCGTACAGCTCGGGCTTGGCTTGGTGCAACATCACCGAGTCCCTCACGAAGTCAGCAGTGGTCTGGCTTGGCACCTCCCGGGTAATGACCACCACACAGTCGTGCTCACTGGCAGAGCGGGAGGGATGGAGGCCATCCCCAGGCATGCTTTTCCCCACATCTGAGGCCAGCAGCATGCTGGAGGGGACAGAGGCCACAAAATGCCCACAGTCCTGCTGGATGTTGAAGTGGACTGGCACTGCAGGGCTGCAGTATGAAGCAGCCACCTTGGACTCCTGGGTTTTACAAATCTGTGAGGAGAGACCAGAAGAAAAGTCTCATCAGTCAGTGACAGAGGGAAGGCAGAGACCAGAAGTTCAGAGGTGGGTTCCCAAGCTGAGATTTGCAGATGCTAAGGAAGACATCACTAGAAGTAGGGTGCACAGTGGTCCTTTTAGTACTTTAAACTATCTCCTGGCTTGAGGATCTTTCTTGTCCTGCAACACCCCAACCTTAGCAACCAGATGTCTGGGTTGCATTTCTGGGCATGCTTCTTTTGCCAGGCAATGCCCAGTATTTGCAGGAAAGGAGGAAGGTAGTCCTCCCATGCGTAACTTCTTGAGATTTTGTTTCATTGCCACAGAAGCAACATAACTTTCACATCACAGATGTCATCGAGATTCCCCCCTGAGACTCAGGAGACATTCTGCAGAGGGAAAAGCAAAGCCTGTGGCAGAAGATGTGCTGCCTCCATCTCTAGAGATGGTTAACACTTGCCTAGATGAGGCCCCACACAACATGACACGGCTGCAAGGGTGGCCCTGTTTAGAGTGAGGGGTGGACAGAGACCTCCAGCACTTTCTTCCCACCTAATGCTTCTCTGGTCTGAAGCCCTGGAGCCACTTTCACATCCTCCTCAACCACTCCACTTCCTTGCTGTCAGCAAGTACTCTCAAACCCTGATCAATGGCTAAGGGAAACCAGCAGCAAGTTGTACTCATCAGCACAGGGAAAAAACACCAGAGAAAATGGGAGCTAACAACAGGCTTAGAAATAAGTGAGAGTGCAGCAAACTCGAGGGAAAAAAGCATTTTATAATCTGGATTCTCTTAAACCCACATGACTTTTATCTTCATTTTGTTATGTATTTTAGC